CTGTTATATTTTTCTTGGATTGTTTTGAATATGTTTTTGATTGTCTCTACTACTTTGTTTATGAATTCCTGTATTTTAGGAGGTGTAGCTATAGGTGTCTTCATTTGTTCTGTTGTTTCTTTAGTTTGTGTGTGATTCGCCTATTTTGTTACTATCTTGCATTTAAATTACGCGGTTTTATGGTGTCAATTATAGTAAATACTAGCAGGTCTTGTAAGTGCTATCGTTACTAACATCACTAGGTAAAGGGAACTGTCGGGTATTATTTCTCGATGTGGTAATCATAACTTAAGCTTGTGGGAAATTAATTTTAAATTATAGCATTAAAGCCTTCATTTTCAGTTTGAAGACTTACCTGCGTGTATAAGCGTTGTTTATAATGCCTTATAATAATTACTTCGTTCCCTTTAACTGTAATCATTAAGATTTATCTTGACTGCGTGAATAGACTGTCTAATCTCAAATTGAAAGAAATGCATTTTGAGTGTTGAAGGACACGCAGGGTCAAGTGGTTAGCGTGTTCAGCATGCGAATCAGAAGGTTCATTGTTTGCAGCCCACTACCGTGAAACGCGCATGATTTATGCAACATTTCGAAAACTATTTCTGACTATAATAATTAATAAAAGTGCATAGATAAGTTTATAATATTCAAAATTTACTGCTATGTAAAGACAAAGAAAGCTGACGAGATAACATATTTATAGTCATCATTTTAAAATAGTAGACTGGATAGTTGAATCTTCTATAACTAAAGAATTCTAACCTTTTAATTATGTAAGTTTTGAAGGGTGTGATGTAAAGGTCCCTTATTAATGTGTTGATTTATACATTCAATTTATTATTTGCTAACAGTGGCTTTTACTGACAGAAAAAAATACAATTAACGACAAAAGTTAGAATACAGAGAGATTCAGTCATTGCCTATGTTACTATGAATAACATAACATGTACAGCCTTATTTCAGATGGTGTAAAATTACGTATAACAGCAGTAAAGAAAATGTTCAGATGATTTCTCTACACAAAAGAGACAAGATACGTGTAAGATCTCACAGGGTTATTAAATAAGTACGACGAAACTCGAAAGGAACCTAATTAAATATGGCACGTTCCTTTATATATGTATCACAAACCCTCAAATTAAAATACATATTTTAATCTTAAAGTACCCTAAAGAATAGATTCGTTAGGCGTAAAACGAAATTTAATTACAAACAGGATCCCCCACTGTGAAACGAACCATGTTTAATCTTCGGACGTTTCGGAATTTACACATTACATCACCAGTGATACAACATATATATATATGTAATGTGCGTGGGTATAGATATATAACAACAAATAGTACAGATTTGAATATGGAGAAAAAATGTATACAAAATATACAGAGGGAAGAAATAAGTAAATTTTACAAAAGTTAAGAATACAATTTAATAAAATGGATATATTAAAACAAGGGGAGCTGAAAGGAACCGAGGTTATTATTTAGTCATGGATGTTCATTTGAGATGCATAGCATTCTTTGACTAGAAGCTCATAGTTTGAAGATCCTGATGTTGGAATTTTGAAGTTATCAGTAGGTAAAGGGTGTTTACTAATCTGTTAGTATGTACGAATGGGGGTAGCACATTAACATAAAAGTGGTTAAGGGTTCTGCTTGAAACTTCTATATATTCATAAGCACGTATTTTTATTAAGCGTTTTGTTTTGCCGACATAGGTGGCTTTAAATTCACCACAAGTGTATTGGTAGACGACCTATGAACGTAGAGAACTAGACAGAATGTCGTTAGCTTTAAAGAAGTTGGTTTTCAGCTTTTCTTCTAATATGTATATTTTGTATACATTTTTTCTCTATATTGAAACTTTTACTGTTTGTTGTTTTATATATATACTAGCGAAAGTACCCGGCTGCGCTTGGGTTATTAGGTTGATATGCTCTAGATGTCTATGTTAGTGTGTGTATTCTGAACCCATTTTAGCGTAAAATTATAACCTATATACTTTTGTTGCTAAGCAACATGACATAAATGCCATTGTTGGAATGCATTGTTACCAAAATGCACTGACTTTTCTATATATTAGAAGCAAAGGCGGATTGGGAGCAAATACCTAAATCGGCCAAGGCGGCACTGCGGCTTACCGGCCCACCGGGATTTTGCCCGGCGGCCCAATCCGCCCCTGATTAGAAGTTGTTATATAAGGAACCACTTCTTTTCTATGTGTTTTTTCGTTAGTTTGCCTCATTAAAAAGATGCGCATGCGCGCGGCTAAGATAATTAATACGTAGGTGCACACTCTCAGGGTCCACTTAGTGCGGGTGCAAAATTTCAGATTTCTCGGTTCTTTCTTCTAGGAGCTATGGTTGTCAAACTTCTATGTTGTTTTTCGCTAGCTTGCGCGTACGCATGTGGATAAGTAACAATACCCAGGTACACACCCTCAGGGTTTATTTAGTATGGGAGCAAAATTTCAGGTTTGTAGGTTCTTTCCTCTTGAAGCTGTGGTGGTCACATTTCTTTTCTAAGTGTGTGTGTGTTTGTGTTTTTTTTTACAAAAATGCACACGCTCTTGCGCGCATGCACGTAATAATACCCATGTGCACACTCTCAGGATACACTTAGTATGTGTGCAAAATTTCAAGTTTCCAGGACCTTTCCTCCTAGAGTAATGGCGGTCACACACACAGATCCACAGACATGTCCTTTTATTATTATTATAGACTAGTGAAAGTACCCGGCTTCGCTCGGGTTATTAGGTTGATATATTGTACATGACTATGTTATAGATAATTATAGGTGCTAGTATATGTCATGTTATCTAACATATATAAATGCTTGTCTGTGTTACGTCATGCTTGATTTTTAAACTTAAATCGTTTATGATTTAAGGTGTTTTCTGTTATATCACCAACGGTTCTTAATTAAAACAAAAAACATTTTTAATCGACAGACTCTAAATTAAGAGATTATCAATTATCTTTCCAGTTTTATAGTTTATACATTTCATTTTAGACTTTCAGTACATAGACTAACAACAATATTAGGTTATACTTTTGTTGCTAAGCAACAAGACATAAAAACCATTGTTGGAACGCATTGTTACTAAACGCACTGGCTTTTCTATATATTAGAAGTTGTATAAGGAACCACTTCTTTTCTATATGGCTTTTCGCTAGCTTGTCTCATTGAAAAGATGCGCATGCGAGCACGCACGTAGATAAGTAATAATACCCAGGTGCACATCCTCATCATCCATTTAGTATGGGTTCAAAATCTTAGGTTTTTTCCTCTTGGAACAATGACTGTCACAGTTCTTTTCTACGTGTTTTTTTTGCGATAAAAAAGATGCGCATGCGAGCATGCACATGAATAAGTAATAATACCCAGGGAAAGAGGAATAACGTATGAGAAATTGGATAGTAAGTTCTCATAGTGACACGCTCACACCAACAGCATGTTTGAAATTGGATAGTCCGTGGAAGGAAGAGGGATTTGGAAGAGTAAATAGTTCAGGAGTTGATGAATTCAATTATTTCATGGGAATTTAAGAAATTATTTGAAACTAAAGTAGGGTAGGCTTGGAAATATTATGTGTTGTGACTATTTTACAAATATAAAAGAAATTAGAATAACATGTGATAATGTACCAAATGGGACACTAAACTGATAAAGGAAGAAGAATGTGTGTGTTTTCTTATAGCAAAGCTACATTGAGCTATCTGCTGTGCCCGCCAAGGGGAATCGAACACCTGATTTTAGCATTGTAAATCCGAAGACTTACCGCTATCCCACCGGGAGGACGAAAGGAAAAAGAGAGAGAATATAAAATCTGTAAAAAAACTATGAAACTGAAAGGGAACGGTAGAAAAGCCTGCAGGTGGTTATTAAAAGGAG